TTTAAGAAGAGGGGGGGGGGGGGGGGGGATTCGTGACCAGATACTCCGCTCGTTTGGGTTTGTAGATTAGTCCATTAAGAAAAGGACCGGGGTGCCAAACCATGGAAAGTGCATCAGCCGATCATCTGGGACTGGTTTCCAAACTTTTTTTTTTAAAGCGTGATCGGCTCACAACGATCGCTGATAATTTTAGCTGCGTGCCTCTAATACTCCCCTCTCTAAATTTACAGGCTTATGTCATCTCGCTTTTCTGTTTGATTCAAGTGCAATTGAGCAAGTCCTAACCAACACGAAGGGGGCACATACAGCGGTTTGTACGGCGCACGCACACCCTCTTCGGGGGCGGGAGGAGACATTTCCTCAGTTCAACGCGGTGTTCTCTATTATTTCCTTATTTAACCAAACTGGGTTCCTCCTTGTTTTGGATAGTGTGATCTCACCTCTCGTGCCCTCAGAGCATCTCTCTAACCCCCTTTTGAACAGCTGGAGGTTAGTCACGCACATTGAAGTGTTTTATTACGATCGTCAGGAAAATTACACCAGTGGGAACCTCTGTACTAGACACATTGTACCTGCCTTATCATCCTCACTGCCTGAGTTGATTGTCACATCTGAATGCCCAGGCTCAGAAGAAAACGTGCAATCTTCCACCGATGCCTCCTAAGAATGTTCTTCTAAAACGTGCTGCTCTGACAATCCATAGGTATCTTAAAGGCTGAGCAACTTTAAAGCGTTTTCTTCTTCACATTTGGCCTGTCTGCAGAGCTTCCATCAAGACTTTTTAAAAAAGAAAAGAAACTTTATAACGAAAAGGGGAGTCAGCTGTAAATTCTCTTCCCCCTCACACAGTGCAGTCAGACCTGCGTGCCTTTTTAATCTCCGGAAGAGCCAGCAATAGAAATCCTATCTTTCCTGTGGCAGGCAAAGGGTTAAGTTTCTGAAGACAGCCCAGAGCCGGGAACTTCGCTATTCCAGCCAGTCCAGCAAAAAGAAGGGGGAAACAAGTAGACTACAAGTAAATGATTCTGCATAGAGGGGCTGGCTACCTCTGATGGGAGGTAAACCAACCAGAACCAAGCATTGTGCACAACTTGAGGGGTTTTGCTCCGTACTTGTGTCTGCGTGCCATCAACACGCCTTGTAATTTGAGATGTGACACCTTAATCTTGCCAAATATGTGTGCTCTTTAAAAACCATTGTAGACAGACTATTTATTTTCTGAGTTAGAGAAAACAAAGATATGTTAATTACTTTCAGTTCCCCAAACATTCCCTTCAAGAATTCAAAAACAGCCCCTGAAATATTTTTTTCTGTTCACTTCTACACTTGTTTATCTTCATTCTCCATTTTCACTATACTCTTTAGAGCTACAAGTGGCTCTTCTATAGTTGCTATGTAAAATTATTTTTACTACAGTCAGAGTAGAATGGTTTACTCATGAAAATGATTGATTCGTTTTAAAGGCAACCATCATGTCAGAGCACTGACATTATACTATTTTATTAAATAGACTCTCAGTTCAGTTCTTAACATAAAAATGAGGTTACACTGAAGACTTATACATATTACTCTGGACATGCAATAGAAAGTAATTATGATATTTTGTGGTTTAACCTGTGTTGATCACTAAAACATTCATCTGATCATTTTAGGCCTTGGTAAGCCTTCAAACACAGACACTTAAAATATATGTATCTCTAGCTATTTACCTTGTGTATTACACAGTAAAACAGTATCAATGTTATGATATTCATGTACATATGAGATGCACTTTAGTAAATACAAGGATAGATAGAGTTAATCTTTCAGTAGGTTTACCTATATCTTGGGTGACAAAAGGGTGGAATTAGGGTTTGCCCATTAATTGTTAGCTTTTGCAATAGCGCCACTTTGTGGTTGAAAAACAGAATAGAAATGAAAAGATGTGGAAAGATCTGTCTTTGTATGTATGCTACATGCATTTCAGCAAGTTTGTGGTGTTTCCATGGTGGCATTGATACACACTGACAAAAACAAGCTGCAATGGAAATGTATTACAATACATTTAATGAACCATTTTATTAAAAGAGTTTTGATCCAAGAATAAATGAGAGAACAAAGAAATGGTATCTCCATATTTTTCACGCAGCTTTAATTTATTATTTTCTTTTACTAATCAACTAGTTTAAGTAAAAAATTACATTCAGGAGATTTCTTTCTTTCAAACAGCCTCATTACTTTGTGCTAGTTTTGAAAATATCTGAAGCAAGCAAGAGAGTAAAGGCTTTTTGTGGCATGAAAATGAGATTGGTTCTTTGAGATTTTTTTTTCAACTAGGAAAAATGGTGGCAGTAAGAAATTGGATTAGATTGTTTAAAATAAATACTAGATTTACTTTCAGCTACTGTAAGCTTATTGATGTGTTCACTGTCCACTCATACATAGGCTGAATATATAAGACACACGATGTGTCTACACTGAATTTTCGGCATTTGTCCCACCATTGCTTTAGCAGCATCCAGACTAGATTAAGAGGTTCTGAAAAACCTCACCTATGATATGTACAATAGATCAGATTCAGCACTACATACCAGATTTTTTAAAACAAAAACAGGTTAAGTGCTCACTCTGGTAAGAGTGGGGCTAAGCTGACACAATGCTAAAAAACACCCATGCCTTGAACTACTCTGAAAGAATACATCTATACAGCGTCATGTAGCTCGAAATAAGCTATGCAATTCGAGCTACGCAAATTGCATAGCTTATTTTGAGAAAGTCTATTTCAAAATTTAGCGCTGTGTAGATTCCGACAAGTCCCTTAATCCTTGTGGAATAAAGTTTACCGGGACATTGGAATAGCAAGCCCATTATTTTGAATAAATTTTGAAATAACGGGCATGTTGCTAAGCCATAGAAAATGCTATTTCAGCATACCAGACGTATCCCAAAATAGTGCCGTTGTCTAGACGTACCCATAGTGTATTTTGACCATATAGTCCAAACCATTCTTTCTCAGAACAACTCCTTAAATCAATGCATAGCTGGTTTTGTGGGGTCAGCCCTTAGCAAGTGCAAGTAAGGATGGGAACCTTTTACCCTTTAACTTAACAGAACTAATTATAAGGGTGAGGATTTCCAAGATCAAATTCTAAATTTGCTATTCATTTTAAAAGTAAAAATAATGGGTCACTCTGTGTCATGGCTTTCCTAATCAAACTTCCCTTCCTGTTAGTGAGGAGTTCTGCTTTAACAAAGGAAAAAAATGTAAGTGTCATGCATTACAGTTACACAGACAGTAGTTTTCATCTAAAGCTCTTAAATGCTTTACAAACTCCTGTTAAGCTTCACAACCATATGTAAAAATATGGGGGGTTGTTCCCTAGTGCTAACATGCAATCATCAGTCAAATGAGACTCAGCAGATCTTAAAAGTATTACGAAATATTACATGTCAGTCTAGAATAGTATAATATTTTGAGACCAAGTGACATTTTTGTCTGTGTGGACAAGTTCTTTAAGCTGCACATCTGAAGCTAAGAAACAGCTCAGTCAGAGAGAGACAATTGCAGAACCTCGGACTATGTCTACACAGCAGCATTATTTCAGAATAACTGATGTTATTCCTAAATAACAAGTAGCACGCCTACACAACAAGCTTTTATTTTGAAATAATGTCTAGCTGGAGGACTTCTTATTCTGACTCCTGTAACCCTCATTTCACAAGGAGTAACGGAAGTCAAAGGAAGAGTGTTCTTCCTTGGATTTCCTGCTGTGTGGACAGTGCCAAAAGCCAACATACACTATTTCAACTTAAGCTAAGCAGTTGACGTAGCTGAAGTTGGTCGCTTATTCCGACTTTAGACCTGCTGTGTAGACATATCCTCGTTGTTTATTGCTGTTATGATCAGTTTTGGAAAGTAATTGTCCCACAAGTAGTAGATATTGGAGTAATGCTTATATCTGCCCATGAGTGACTTTATTCAATCAGCTAAACAGAACCTGGAAGGTTATCAGTAATAATGCTACCTGTAGACTTCCTTATTTTCTGTTATAACATTATTGGAAGAAAACTATCTAATTAAAAGGGCAAGAAGAATTTAGGCAGGCAGAAGTATCTGTGTAATTTGGAATTTATACTTGTTTAATGATCCAAA